ATTGTCTTTGAGCAGGTGTCCAAAGCATCATGTTTTACAACTAACTAACAATTGACAGCAGCTATACATACACAGTCTCTTCTTTCTTTCCTGAACAAAAGAACATAATTGAATTAGTATTTTCCAAGATATAGCGATTTTCCATTCGCGTTTTTCGAATTTTTCAAATACTAATGTCTTTATAAGCAGGTGTCCAAGATATTATGTTTTACAACTAACCAACAACAGGGGCTATACATACACATCCTCGTCTTTCTTTCCTGAAAAAATGAACACAATTCGATTAGGATTTTCCAAGATATAGCGATTTCTTTGGGGGGGTTACGTTTTTAACACCCTGTACTATATATTGACCCTATTTTGTTTTGAAGTTTAGTTGGTAAATTTTTTTCAAGGGGGAATAGTTGGACTAGAAAGTAATGTTAATCATCTAGGCCTTGTGTAAATTAAAAAATGTTTGTACGGTTTATTTCATTACATTGAAAACCTCATTTTCACTACCCTTAAATCGTGACATATATCGGATCAAAATCATGCATTACTTCTTAAAATAACGCATGTCTATATCGTTTTCTGATTTGTCAGATAGTTCTACTATGTGTCAATGTCACTGTTCCACAGCTGGATGACTCTAACTGCAGTATTCAAGACGGTGACTGTTCCACAGCTGGATGACTCTAAGACTAACTGCAGTTAGTATCATTCAAGATGGTGACTGTTCCACAGCTGGATGACTCTACCTGCAATTAGTATCATTCAAGATGGTGGCCAAAATTCTTTCGTTTTTGATAAACCAACGATTTCAGCTAAACTTGGATCTGTATTCTAAACGTTTCGCCATGCAACCTAATAAAGTATAACTAAACAACCGAGGAAAAAATACTCAGACACCCGCATTAATAGAGAATTTTAAAGAAAATAGCTCCACTTAGAATGACTATAACTGAAGTTGATGATAAACTAACTCAAACATGATCACTGGTTATCCACTCGATTACGCTTACTCGATTTGCGAACACATAGTTCAGAAGACAACAAAATAGTTGATTTAATTCCTCACTTAGTTACATTATAATGGACGGTATTTCGAAAAAAAGTTTAGATCTGCACTTTTAACTAACTTTTAACTTATGTAACTTAGGTGGGGAATTAAATCGACGATTCTGTTGTCTTCTGGGCTATTTTTTCGCAAACATGTACATTTTCTAAAACATATGATACTGATATACGTTTATGAGAAAAATGTGGAGATTCTGCCTACAACACGTGAAATAAGGAAAATCGTGCCTTCGACGTTCCGACATTTTGTTACTGAAACGAACCGTTTCGGTAACCAGCGTACAATCGAGCGGACCACCAGTGATGATATTCGTCATTGGTGACACTAACTCAGATGGCCATGCATGTAATCATCCCATAGAGTTAGTGTCATCCACCGTTTCACTTAGTGTCATTCCTACGTCATCATCAAATTCAGTTAGGGTCATTCTAAGTGAGGCTTTTTCTCTAATATCGCGGGTGTTTGCACGTTTTCTGGTGGCTATTTACAAGCATAGCTTTTGGTTTGCATGGCGTAATATTTGGAATCCAGATTCAACTTAGTTTAGCTGAATTCGGAAGTTTATCGTAAACGTAAGGATTTTGGCCATCATCTTGAATGATACTAACTGCAGTTAGAGTGATCCAGCTGTGGAACTTTGTATGTACTAGGTTAGTATGTACATGTACATAAATGGCCCCCATGCATGGATAAGGACACCTGCTGGAAACATGTTTTCCGAGGGGGTTTATGTGCTGTTTGATTGTATTTGCAATTCCGAGTAGTCATTATCTTCTAGGCACACATAAAGTCAATGAATGCATCACTCGTCTAATGGATGGGTTCTTAAATCAGTTATTGTTTAAGGTGATAATTATATTATCCTAGTACGCATACTGACGTAAATTAAGCTAGCTTTATGCAATTTATTGGTACATTTATTGCTTTTATAAAGATCTAATTGTTATAAAGATATCAATGAAAGTGAAACAAGACAATTTGATTATGCATCATTAACATCATTTACGTACAAATTCACAGTTCTTATGGCCTAAACGAAAGGGATCAGTTTTACATTTTCTTCTTAATTGTCTCGAATATGTGTTTTATTGGCGACGATTCCCGAAAGGTTATTCTCATAAATAGTATAGAGCTTTTCATTTTCTTATCATTACCGAAGAGACGTAGAATAATTATTATCGCAAAAACCTATTACTTTATCAATTTTATTTATGCCATTTTCTCTACTAAATCAGGTGCTGCGGAACATCGTATTCATAAATAATGAGATTAACCCCCAATGTTGAATATAATCAGAACGCAATGTCTTCACAACTGCTAGTTGTGATAACGTTTTCTGTATTTTGACGAGTATGCCTCAACATACATAGTATTTCAACAGTGGGTGGGTGCTTTTGCTTCTAAGCAATGATGTGTAATTTCCATTATGGGCAAATAAAAGGTAATAGCAATTTGTTCTCCAAGGATATTATAAAATGTATATTTCATGAAGTTGTAACAGTGTCAAGATATAGGGACAGAAAATATTCTAGCATAGTAAGAGCATTCAATATACAGTTAGTCACTTGCTAACTGTTTCAAGGCCTGTGTTACACTTGCTAATTGTATATTGAATGCTCTTACTATGCTAGAATATTTTCTGTCCCTATATCTTGACACTGTTAGCAATGATATGCATGTCATGATATAGGGAGAAAATTTAAGTTTGGAAAATGTGACTTCTAGTTCGCGGGGAGAGTCCCCATTGACTCCATGTTTTAAAATTACAAAAAGTGTCAGGGGTCGTCTGCCTCTCATCTTCTACCAGTTCATGTTATGAAAATATCTCTTCATTGGTGAAACTTTGAGAAGAAATAACAGGAACTTGTAATTAGCAAACACGGAGGCACTTTACCAGTAGTAATCATCACCATATTTAAATTACAACACTAAGCAATCTTCGATTAATGCATCATTGTCTCTCGTGAGAATCAACAGCGATAATGTGTTAAATAAGCCATTGACATTGCTATAATACATATTTTTAATTAAAAGTATCATTTGTCTGCGATTCTCAGTGAGTTAAAATGCATCGTTAAAGTGAAAGCAAGAATTTGAAGGTCACAGTTCTCCAAGATCGGAATCAACCAAGAGGTACCTGATTAATTGTGATGGCATAAAGTTGATTGAGTTTACAAGGGCTTACGTGACACTCAACAACAATTGATGTCTAAATCTTCCTGTACCTGTCACAAGACCATTATTTTCAATTACATTCCTGTTAACTCTAATGTGTACAGGAGAGGGGGTCGGATGACCCCCTCCTGATTTTTCTCCGGTACTTCTCTGCCAAGAAAAACTATTTTTATAACTGTATAAAATATAATTTTGGGTGCAAAAATCGAGGTCATCGGGGCCGGGGTAATTTGACTGAGTTAGGATGGAGGGAACTTGGGATTTTTTCAGAAATTCCTTGAAAATCACACCATCTCTATGGTTTCATACAATAAAAATATAAGCTGGTTATTTTTACTTTCTTTTGGATATAGACCATATAGTATAGTAAATACCCTTTCAGACAAGCCATATTACAAGGTTATCTGACTTTTATTGACTGAGATACAAACTTTTCAATCGAAACTCGCGGTTAGATCCAAATAATTTGAGTAATGAATGTTTTTTCAAAAACTTGTAATCATATATCCATATATCCATGAAATCTTTTCTGGGAAGTCCAGAACATGTTTGTCAGATGTCTGCAAAACAATATAACTACATCTTTGTTTGTTCCGTAGAAATAATTTTTTGTTGTCTCCCCTGGCCCCAAGATTTTTCCGTTTTGCGGCTATTTTTAGTCATTTTTCCATCTCAATATATAATTTACAAAGTTGAGAATATATATGCATCAAAATATTACACATTGATTTGAAGTATGTAACAAACAAGAGTAAATTGCAAAACTATTTTTTCTTCTTTACACAACCTTTATTTTACTAAACAGGACGTTTCGGATCCTGTCTGGATCCTTTTTTCAACTGTATAAAAACTGAACTGAAGCGCTACAAAACAAAATTAACAAATATTAAAAACAATATTACGTCAGATTAAGTCACCAAAAATTCATTCCAAATTCCTGCCAATTTATAGTTACCTTGATCCCTGTTCAAATAAAGGTTGTGAAAAGAAGAAAAAAATATTTTTGTGATTTAATGATCAAACCTGTAGAACATGTTTAAGAAGAGTAAATTGTATTTGAAGTTCTGGTTTTTGAGAAAATAAATTTTCCGTCATCTCGGGTGGCTTTATTTGTTTTAAAATATTTTTCATAAATCAAAATTAATATAGAGCCAAACGTGTGATTCTGAATATGTCAATGCTGCAACTTTTGGCTCAAATACACTTATTTTCAACACGCGAGATTGAGTTTTCGCTAGCCGAGATGCACTAAAAACAAATTTTCTCAGCTAATACTCAATCAATATCCAAAGTTTTTTTTACACTATATTATAGCCAGGGGCATGTCCTATTGGGTTATTTTGAAAAATACGTATCTTAGGTCCTGAACTGTGATTTGTCTCCCATTCCCCCATTTTTCGATATTTTATTTCGTCAAATTTTCGACCAGATTACCTATCTCTGGATCTAGGAAAGATATTTACCCACGTAAAAAATACGTGAAAAAAAGCTCACACCTATGTTATTTTGACCTACTTTTGACCTCATTTGACCTACTTTTGAGATTTTAATACACCCCCCTCGAGAGTTTTAAATGACCTACAATATAATACCTTACTTTTTCCCTGTACCTCTTCAACTTTTGAAACGCCAGGGGGTCATCTGACTCCCCCCCCTGTCCATTAGTGTTATGAAAAATACGTTGTACACATTAGGGTTAAATACATCAATTACTATAGATACTGTACTAACGGTTTTTAATAAAGCCCTCATATTGTATTTCCAGGTGAGGTATTGGGGTTATGATCGTGGTGCTACAACTGATGGCGGAAGGCCCATCGGGGACAGAGGAAATAGTAGACGGTATGGGAAACTACACCTATGAGCAGATATTCAATGAAAGTGGAACGGATAATGAAACAGCTAAACCACATTATAATTTCTTTGTACAGTCTCAATTCATCACAGCTCTTATATGTTTACCTATAATTTGTACTTTCGGAATTATCGGAAACATTCTCAGTTTGGTCGTGCTTCAACAAAAGAAAATGTCCAGCTCGACAAATACATTTCTTTCAGCCATGGCGATTGCTGATTCAATTAAATTGATAAATGATGAGATATATTTCGTGGTGATATTGATGCAGCGCTATAATCCCGAGATGAGCCAAACGGGATTTGTACACATATATCCCTACTCCCATTTTGTTTTCAATTGTGCAATGTTGATAACATCTTGGATAACTGTCAGTGTTGCAGTGGAACGCTACATCTCAGTGTGTCATCCTCACCGTGCTAAAAGCATGTGTACTATCCCCCGGGCCAGACTAGTAAGCTCTTGTGTTGCACTTGGCATGTCCATAATAGCACTGCCATCTGCCTTCAAATACCACACTGTCGTCTCTAAGCCATTGGATAATACAAGCGAGGGGGTAGTTAATATGACAATAGAACTGACATCATTTGGAAAAGACGTGTATGCTATGAACATATACACATGGATTCAGACTCTACTGCGCTCCATTATTCCATTATTTGTGCTTGTATTCATTAATGCTTCAATAATTCGTTCCCTCGGGAGATCGAAAATTCAGGGAGCCGCTAGTGCTGCCAGATATAGGATCACCGTCATGTTGGTCGCCATTATCGTCGTCTTCCTTATTTGTATCACTCCTGACGCCATCATGTCAACCTTTCTTGGCCTTGGTTACTACGAGGCTAACTATCTGGTGCGTGGTATCAGGGAATTCACTGACTTGCTGCTTGCCATCAACTCGGCTGTTAATTTTTTACTCTATTGCACGTTTAGTAAAGTTTTCAGAGAAACGTTTATGAGTTTGTTTTGCAACTACCGTATAACATGCAACAAGTGTCTTTTGAAAATATCTTTTAATGATTATACTAGCATTAGACAAGCCCGTTGCGACAGTCCATCACGGGGGGAAACATTGAACACTGTAGAAACAGGATCGAACCAGTCGACTCGACCTCCGCTGAACGGACATGTCGAGTCGTCCGTTGACAAGATAGCATCTCCGACGCGTGACCCACAATAATTCAGCTCAATAATTCGTTAAAATGACTGAGCAAGGAGAGCTTTATATATAAATTCTTGATTAGTGTATCACGAAGTAATTTGTACCTGAAACCATTTTCGAGGCACCCCAACATTAGCATCATGTTCCCAATGGAGGTTTGAGATTGAAGGGAAATGTATCGTGTTAATCAGTTTACCAAATGAACTTATGATATTAATGGGGTTGATTGCCAGTGTATCTTCAGAGCATCTTTAAATTTTATGCGCAAACAAAACAAAAATGCCATCTAGAAAATTTATGCTCTTAACAAATTGATTTTCCATATTTTAAAAGAGGATGATTGTTTACTGAATGTTGAATATTGTAATTGTATACTTTATTTACCTCTAATACAAAAAGAGTTACAAATTATATATATTAAATTATGTATTAGATTATATTACTAAAATACCCTCTGTAAAGAAAATGAATGTGCATTGTCCCTTACCAATCATATCTTTTTCATTTTTCGTCATTATCAACACTCCCCTCCATAAGTTTTGACAACCTTAGCTCCCTCATTGAACTATGTGTTGAAGCCTCGTTACGTTTGAATTTCTATTTACGTAACCTGTGAAGAAGATACTTAATATTATTGATGGAAATGTAACTTGACTTCCTTTCCAAAGCCTCCAAAGTTTTTCAAATTTTTTCCTCAATTACAATAGGTCGAAAATTGATGACTTTGATGATTTTTTGAAAATCGTCATTCCCATGTAAACCAATGGGTAATGGGGGGGGGGATTCGGGGCAAATCTGATTTCAGGATATCTATCAAGCAAAAGATTCACCAAAAAATATTTTATATAGAAATTGGATTGTCTCAATTTTTGTAGGCTAAGTGTTCAGTTTACTTTATGAAAACTTAAGTTACAGAGATTCAAAGTCATTTTTGAAAATTATTTTCGCCTCTTGTGTTATTTCAATGGGAGGAGATTTTTGGAAAATAATTTTGACTTTTAAGACCTATAACATTTTTTAATCTGAAGGAACGTATCAATTTTTTTGTAAAATAAAGTTAGCAATGTATTTTTGCAAGAACTCGGATGGGTGAATATTCTGTCATATGACTTGCGGCAAACCTTACCATTTCCCATTGGTTTACAAGGGAATGTCGATTTTCAAAAATTCATCAGATTTATCATAAATTTTTCATCAATTTATGAAAAAATTCGGAAAATTCGGAGGCATTGGAAATGAAGTCGAGTTACATTTCCATTAATAATAAAAAGTATTTTCCTCACAGGTTATGTAAATAAAAATCCAAACATAAAAAGACTTTAACACGTAGTTCAATGAAGGAGCAAAGGTTGCCAAAGTTATGGAGGGGGTGTTCCAAACATCCAGAGGTATAATGTATGTATACTTTGACCAATCAAATGGAAAAAATTTCAAAGAATTTCGTAAATATGGTGAAAAGTTAGAAAGGATGGAATAGAACGACTCCAAAAATCGTGAGTGTGACTTTTACCATAATTTGACGTCATAAATTTGAGAAATCTCATGGCAATGTGCTCGAGAAGGGGATCTTCTGAGACATGGTGTTAAATTGTTAGTAACGTTTAGAAGAATACACCATTGTAAAAAGTTTTTAGTCCAATAAAACTTTGTGAAAAATATATTAAGTTATACGAGTATATGAAAGTCCGATTTATCACAACCATTTTGTGATACAATTTGACGTAATATCCTTAAGATTCAGGGATCTCTTCTCAGTTCAAAATTAGGGTTAGGGGTAACATATATTACAATACTGGAAATTGTAAGATAATTATAACCCTTAATCTTTCTCAATGACCCATAAATACACAAAACTATTTTGTTCCTATTTTCACAACCTTTATTTTACCAATTTCACTGCTATTTGAGGCGTAAAATTGTCTAAAAATCATGTTTTAGGCGGGTTTTGGCACGTTCACAATTTTCTGTCAGTGTGTCAATGTTTATTTTAAACCTGTCAGTTATGACCAGTTTGGAACGGGCTTTATTGCATGAAGAATATAACATAAAGAAAATTATAGCCTCCATTGTAGGCTTATAGGAAAATGCATTAGGCTACCTGTATAGTAGCTAATTGTAATTTATGACGTAATTCAAAGGAAAAAGTCACATTAGTAACTTTTTTTAATTTCCATCTAATTTTTCAAAATGTCCACCAGTTATTCACAATATTTACGGAATGTGCCTCCGAAGGTTTAGTAATATCATACAAATTTTTGAAAATGTTATGACTGATAAAGGACCATGCACCTTTTTCTTTACAGAGGGTATAGAATTTATGTTTGATATATGTTTGCTTTTTCACTTTTTACAGCAACTACCCAAAAACCTTCTCGGGACCATTATTTAAGGATTTAAGCCCTGGACTCAGAGCATGGTGGACTGATCATTGCTCATATAGGCGTTGCCTCAACCTTTGCACTAGTGCTAGTGCTAAGTAAGGAAACGACGCCTGAGTGGAATGAATCAGCTACAACGCATTGACTCTTGGGCTTGAACTCTTTTCACACATATTTTCTACGAAATCACCTAAAAGATACGAAATTACGGAATGAGCAAATTATCAATTAAAAGGGGTGCTCTCGTCGACTGGTTCCATGTTTTTTTCCTCTCATTTTGGCCAGTTTCTATGGTTGATCCCCATGGCCAAAATTGACAGTGCTGCACATACCTACCCAAATTAATTTGAGTGAACCTCCCCGGGCAATAAACTGTCCACCAAGGCTAATAGCCGTTTCCTCAATTATTCATTTCAATTTCTGTAGTAGATTTGTTGGTACCCTTGGGATATAGTTTCGTAGAAATTACAACGTTCTGCCTGAAAATGTAAACATACGCGGAGAGTCCGTGCACCAGATTTTCTGTTGAGGCCGGGCACATTCACACTTGGAGACATGGGGATCTATATTTTTCCATTTACACTTTTCATCGCGTAAACTAAACGTCCCTGTTCGTGGGAACTTAATGCGGACTATTTTGAAGTCAAAATCATTTTTAGGATAGGTAGCTATGCCATTTCTGGTTTTACCCTGGGTTTTAGGAAGTTGTAAAGTTTAAGATTGCTTTTCCTTTCTATCTCCAACTGAACTTGCTTATAAATCAAGTTGCATCAGTTGTGTTTTTGGAGGAGCCGCAATATGTATTTAATCGTTTTGCTCTCGCTCACATTGAAGCAAGATTATTATAAATGGAATTTTAATTGACGGTGGATTAACGTCATTGTTACAAATCCGAGGGACTAATTAAATGTACTAATTATTGGTTCATTAAATATCAAATATCTGTAAGCAGTGGCATACCATGCTAATGGGGATTTTCTGGGCGTAACTTACGCCACCCACGAATGAGCAAAGTTAACGAGTTTTGAGGGGGGTTTGGGCTCCCCAATGGAATTTGAAAATGAGAATTGCATTTGAAGCATTCTGAGCCGTTTTAAAATACGAAATTCCAACTAATATGGACAAATGAAATGTAAATTATTTTCATCCAATATTTAATTACGTGAACCCGTTTCTAAATCATGGCATGACAAAATAGGTGCTTCTTTGAAATAAAACTCATTTGCATACTAGCCTATATTGTAAACACTCGTCTTCAGAATATCCAGTATTTTTAAAGTTTGGGTCAATTCGCTGATATGATTTAAGAGAACGCCATGGCGTTTTATGAGTATATGACGTTACGCCATTTATAAGCGCTTGAATATTCTGAAACTATTTCCTCAATTTGAGTCAAATTATAATCTGCAGCTTGACTTATACGTATGTTTAAATCGTGAAAAAACGTATCAAACTCGAATAACAAGGGAGGGTCTAAATTTCTGGGGGGAGGGCTTGCCCGCATTCCTCTTAGTCGAAGACGCCTTGTGTGGGTGCACATTCCACGTCCCTGATGTGTCGGCGGCACAACTCATATAACAGGTAAAGCTCGATATTTTACAAACGAGATTCAAACACAACGACACATCTCAAAAACGAATCTTTTGTAAGGAGATGGTTTATTTCGACGAAAATTTTGATATTCCATGACCCATATTCGTTCATTTATGCCTCTTTTCACGTTTTTTGTCAATTGTCTCTCATATAGCAGAACAGTGAATCACTACCTTTCATAAACTGATAAAGATGTCCTCACATCAAATTATTAGAAACAACCAGAAAACCAGGTATTTTTACTCGAGCAACTGCCATGACATCTTTATATAAAATGAATACCTTCAATAATTATAAAACAAATAATGATATTGATGTAAGCTCGTAAAATGCTGTCAGCGTTCACTTTAACAACAGTAAATATTTGAAGCCCTTTCTGATCTATACCAGAGATCTTTATTCCATTTCTCGTCTCTAATGGACTATACGAACACCTGCAAAACCTAACATTTTTGTTCCTTAGTGACATTTGATATTTTTTCTCTTTGATTTCTCATAGAGGGCCTTAGTATGTGTACTGTTAGCATCCTTATTTTCAATAATTCCGAACTAACAATAAACCATCTGTTACATTTGGTATTAGCCAGTATGTATGCTATCTCTGAAATATTGATATTTTGGCCTATTGTTGCCAGACCTCTGATTGTTTTATAAATCACAGTTAAATTAATTTAACTTCATTTGACATTTGATATGAAGTTAGAATTATGACTCAGCATCATGTGAATTAAATATCACAAGACAAAAGTTTGTTTCCCATTCACTGACTGAAAAGTGTGGCAGAATTGTTCATAATTTACATTGTAACTCATATTAAAGGCCCCATATAAAGTTTAAACCACTTTGGTTTATATTGAAGTCTTACTCAATGTTATCAAAATGTTTTATGTGAAACTTTGTTTTTAAATTTCAAAAAGTGGTTTTTGAAGGACTTTTTGTTTGAAAAATAGTGAATTTATTTAAAACTAAATTTAAGAGCTCACACATATGGTTCAATAAGCGATTATTCACAACAATGCGTGGCATTCATCCTCAGTGTCTTTAGTAGAAAAAATTCAGAAAATCGGTTGGTATGCATGAAAGTGGTCAGAGAAAAAAAATATTTCAAAATGTTAGTTCTTTTAGTTAAACCAATGGTACAATAATATCTATAACACACTATTCTTCTTTTCAACCTAGTTAGACGATCAACATTGGTTTATTTTGAAAGCTTAGCATAGTTAGAAGAATTAAGAGTAAGAAAACATTTGAATATTTTTCAAAAACATTTTTGCACCCTAAATGGCATCACGATGATGTCACTTAGGGTGCACACGCTTTTTTGCTAAAACATTTAACATGTTTAAGTGGTTTAGGTATGACATTTAATTATTCGAA